TAGCACACACCATTTACAAAAATTAACTTGAAATAGGATACAGCCTAAGTGTAACCAAAAGCATAAAATTACCAGAAGACAACATAGAGAAAATCTTGGTGACTTTGGGATCGATTTCTTACATAGAATACACAAAGCACAAATTATGTAAGAATGAAAAGCTGGACTATACCAAAATTAAATGTGTTGCTCTTTCATAGACACTATTAAGACACTGTTAAGGAAATGAAGAAGCAAGCCACAGGCTGGGAGAAAATATCAGCAAAGCATATATTTGACAAAAGATTACAAAATATAAACTATAAAAACATCTTATAACTCAATAATATGAATATAAACAACACAATATCAAATGGGCTATAGATTTAAACAGGCAATGTACCAAAAGAAATATACACATGGCAAATAAAGCACGAAAAGACCCTCAACATCATTAGTCATTAGGGAAATGCAAATAAAACCACAACAAGATAAACCACAGCACATCCACTAGAATGGATAAAATTCAAACTAACAAAACCAAATTTTGGCAAGGATTGGAACCACCTGGAACTCAAACTGCTGGTAGAGATGCAAAATATAAAACTATTTTGGAAAATGGTTTGGCAGTATCTTATGAAGCTAAACACACACTTACCATTTGACCCAACAATTCTACTCTAGAGTATTTACCCAAGAGAAAGGAAAATACATGTCCACATAAAGACTTGAATTTGAATAACCTTGGTGACTTATTCATAACAATCACCAAGTGGAACAATTCAAAGTCAATCTTCTTTGAATAAATAAATTGTAGTATGCTCATATGATGAAACATTAATCAGCAATAAAAGAACCATCTACCCGATACACTTAATAACATGGGAATCTCAAAACACTATGCTAAGTGAAATAACGTCAGACACAAAAAAGATCACATATGATACGTTCATTTATACAAAATTTCACAAAATTTAAAACTACAGTGTTAAAAATAGGCCAGCAGTTGCCAGGAGCCAAGCATAGTAGGAGGCAATTAACCACAAAGGGAGATAAAAGATTTTGGGGGGTTATGTAAATGTCTTATATCATGATTATAATGGTGATTACATACAGTATATGTATGCTAAAACTCATCAAAACTTTAATAAATTTGATTACTTTATAATTTAAATGATACCTTAATAAAGTTGATTTTTAAAATATATCAGGATGGAAGATTTGAAACAGTCATTACGTACTGATCACATGTTTATTTACACAGAAACCCCAAGGGAATTTATCAAGATGGTATTAAAATAAGTAAATAACATCAACATTATTGTTGACAATTCAATAAGATTATCTGACAAAATATAAAACCTTGATATACTATAATCAACTTGAAAGTGCAACATAACAAAGAAATCCATGAGAAAAAATCTTTCAAAGAAAACATATACAAATAACTTCATAAATTTAAGGCTAGAATTTATTTATATGATAAAAATAATTTATAAATGTGGAATAATACACATAAAGAATTCTAAGAAAGCAAAAAGAACGCAAATCATCCCAAAGGGAAAATTAGAAAATTAAGAGACAAGCCCAAATATATCTGGCAAATATTTTTCTGCAAAGTTGCTTGACCTTACTAATAATGAGAAATGATGTGAAGTAAAACAGAACAAACCATATTATTTCATGCCCATTATAATAGCAAAAATTTAAAAGTCTATCAATACTTGGCAAGGATGTAGGGCCATAAAGTGTCCCATTTATTCAGATTAGGAGTGTAAAATGACATTGGAGAGCAGTCTTGGAATTTCTTTTAGCATTTACAATGGCTCAGTAATTCTAATCAGATACATAATCTAGAAAAACTCTAACACATATGTCCCAGACAACAGTCTTTTCCAGACAAGTAGTTATGTTCACCACATCCTGGTTTGTTTTTACAAAATTCTAGAAACATCCTATACACTCATCAGTAGGGGAATGGACAAATTAGATACACCAATGAATACTATATAACCAATAAGATGAATAAATTAAATCTAAGTATGTCCACATAAATAGACCACAAAACAATACTGAACAAGAAAGCAAATTGTGGAGTAATATGTGAAGCATATTCACATCCAGACAAATATTTCTAATATGCACAAAGTACAGTTATATTATTTATGATGCAAGAGCCAGCCATAAGGATATATTCTAAATTCATGATAGTAGCTGACTCGGGGGGGAAAAAGCAAAAGAGCATTATTTTAATAATAAAAACTTAAGAAAAAATAAAAACAATAAATGTTAAAGAAAAAACAATATTTGTTAATTCTAGATGGTATTATACTGTTCTTATATTTTTCTATATTTATTGAAATTTTCACAAGATATGCTACTTGAACACCTGGGCACCTGAGAGCCTAAATATGAGTAAGACATACTTCTTGCTCTAAAGGAAACTGCACCCTTCTATCAGTGAGCTATTATTGCAATAAGAAGTACCTTAAAACTCAGTGGCTTTAAAGATTATTTATTCTCCCATATCTGAGCTCCGCTGAAGATCTGCAGATTAAACCTGCACTTCTTGGGGAGAATCTACCCTACTCCATAGTGAACACAGGGCTAACATAGGCATGTCCTGTTTGTGGGATGGCAGAGGTGCTAAAAAAAAGAGAGAGAGAGAGAGAGAAACACATGAGGCATTCTGAAGCCTAGGCTTGCTTTTAACTGGCAGGTGGTCATTCCACCAAATTTTATCTGACAAAGGAATTCACATGACCAAACCCAACTTCAAACAGGGGGAAAGATGAAACAGCAGCCTAATTTCTATATTAATTCTTTCACTGTACTTTTACTATGTTCACTCATTCCTTCTTCTCTCGCTCTCTTTTCAGTCTTAAACTTCTCACTAACATATCATACCTAGCTAAAAGAGAACTGAAAGAACTTTGGGCCTTAAGGTTTAGGTTTGTAAAAGTTATAAAGTGATTCTTCAGGTGATAGTTAATCCTGAATGTAGGTCAAAAATAGCCACTTTTCTCATAATTAGATATTTCCAAAGGAAAATATATTAAAATAGCCATATTTTCCTTCTTCTGATTCAACTTTAAATGAGCAGAATTAAATTTATTTATGGTAAATTCCATTATGTTTCTAATTAAATTACCATGCCACAATAGTATAAACACAGTTAAGAGCAAATAAACATCACTAATTCTTGTTCTTGCTTTAAAAAATTTAAGGTAAACCAATGAGAAAAATGTCTATAATAAAGAAAATAAAGACCACCAATACCTTATGCTTGTATAGCATGTTAGGTGGGCAGTTACTAATTTATTAACATTTTATAGATGAGGACTTGAGGTACAAAGAAATTAAAGTAATTTTTGAGTAACAACACAAAGCCTTGGATCAGAATATATTTTAACTTCTTTCTCAGGACTCTCTCCACAATACCAAGCTGTGACAATAGATGAATATGCATATCTTGCTCTAAATCCAAGAAGATAACAGTAAAAGATGGCAGCTGTCTGAACAAGCCCGACTAAAGAGACCAGAGTTTCATCCCTCAAGTCTTTCTGGCTCCACCTCTCAAGTGTATAATTTTCTAAAAGCCTCTGCTTAAGAAGAGTTATTTTAATCTTCAGTTTTTTTCTATTTGACATATATTTTTAGCAAAAAATTTATAACTCATCCATATCAGTCTCTAATTTTTATTTAATCATCTTACTTCCATAAATATTCATGTTATTATCTGCTGCTTTCCTCCTGAGCTATACTGTTTCTGTTTTCTGGGAGTATCCCAATGTTTATTTCAGTATATTTTGCAGTATTATGATTTCTAACAGTAGGAAAAAAACACCAGTTATGAAGTAGATAATTTAAAAAAAAAAAAAGGTTTTCCAATTTTTCCTTACAGTTGAACTTTCCAGTTCTGTGATGGTTAATTTTACATGTCAACTTGAGTGGACTACATCATGCCCAGATATTTGGTTAAACAATATTTCTGGGTGTGTCTATGAGGATGTTTCTGGATGAGATTAACATTTGAATCTGTAGAGTGAAGAGTAAGGAAAGCAGACTGCCCTTCCCAGTGTGGGTGGCCTCATTCAATCCACTGAAGGCCTGAATAAAATGAAAGTCTGAGGAAGAAAAATTCTCTCTGTCTCTGAGCTGGAACATTGGTCTTTTCCTGCCTTCCAACTCAGATTCTGACTACAACTTTCACCTTCAGCCCTCTTGGTTCCCAGGCCTTCAGGCTTGACTGGAACAGGCTCTCCTGGGTCTGGACTACTCAGCCTCCATAATTATGTGAGCCAACATCTTACTTTATTTATTTATAAAGAAGTTTGTATACTTAGTATACACATACATATATGAATTGGCTGGCTAGGTAGATAGACAGAAAGATATAAATAGTTATATAGAGAGATATAGAGATTAGAGATAATGTCCTATTTCTCTTGAGAATCCTGACCACATAAGTCTCAAAACAAAATCTTGAAAAAGTCCATAGCTGGCTTCTTGAGTATCAATCAGCTAATACCCTGGGCTATTAATTTATTTGCATAAGAATTTTGGTTTTTAATTAATTGACAAAGTGGCAGAAGGCCAAATCAATAATAATTTAGTATTTAATATCAAATGATAGAATATTAGAACAAAAAAAAGTATAGGTTATCTGAATTCATCCACTTCATTGCACACATGAGAAAAAAAATTATAAAGTTTAAATGATTCACATGCCTTGGCCAAAGGTAGTTAAAAACAAAAATGGAATCAAACACAAGTCTCCAGATTGCATTTACTCATCTTCTTTCCACTGCATTACACTGTTATTTTTATAGCTGAAGTTATAGTTCAACTTGAGGTCTCTGCACTTTTTCTTATGGCCTCTCATTACAAACATATGAATATTGGAAGATGGCTAGTTGAATGCAGGAGTGTATTCAGCTCTCATGAAATGAAGTTTAACCCTATCAGCAGCAATCAGCCAGCCACACATAGCTACTAATTATTGATACTGAATGAATTACATTCACAAGGCAAAAACTTTCCAATATAAAATTACAGACGATCATAAGCAAAGAATGGAATATATTTCACTGCCTCTATATTTACCTAACCTCAAAATATTTTTCCAAATTTCTAAAGTAAAATTTCTTCCTTTTTGGAATAATTTCACAGTGAATCACAAGAGGAAATATTATGAAATTTGATCAACTCCACAATTCAAAGTAAGAAAGGGAGACTTAGGATGCGTGACTGAGGGCAAAGGGCAAACACCCTGAAAGAAAAACCATGCAGAAACTGAGAAATATCAAGGAAATGTTCACATGCTTTCACCAAAGGAAATTTAATGCTACTTATATGGGGATTTGGAACTCAGGATAGAACTCAGATTACCTAACACTGACTGGATGCTGTCCATTTGAAATTCTAGGCTCAAATACTGTAAGTAGAAGATCATTTATCCAGAATTTTCAGGACTTAACTTATTCAAGACTATAAAATCACATGAGTTAGGTATGACAATGTAAAAAATATGATCCTCTCTCCAACATCTTCTAGATGCATTCTCTTAATTTCCAGTCCATTAAATGAATAAGAAATACACACAAACATATATATTTACACAATTACAGTTCACCATAATTGCTGGAATTATGATATCAGCACATACCCTGAATTGTACTTTAACTATCACCATTATGGGTTATCATTTTAAAATCCTTTTACAATTCCTTTGCATGCTTCTCATGTCTACCCTCAGTCAAAAGAAAAACAAGAATCCCCATATCACTTCTACATTGATTTTAGAGAGCAGTAATTTTTTCCTACTGTAAATTTCTGTTCATCATGTGGTTTTCTTATCAAAGCATTAGCAATGACCAGTGATCAAAGGAAAATGGGACTTTATTTTTCTGGAGAAGTAGAATTAAGCCTTGAATCTTACCACTTGCAATGCTCTAATTCCCTCCTGGGAATGCCAGGATGGAAGAAGAGCTGAGTTAGGTTTCTATAGTTTTTCTGTTTAATAACTGAATACAAATCTACCTAAATCTGCCAACCATAAATGAATTAAATAGAAAGAAATTGCTGAAGAAGTCAATTTTTCACAGTTCTAAATACAGGTATTGCCGATTCCAATAAAAAGGCTTCATATTGCATAGTCTTCAATTTGCACAGTCTGGAAGGAAGCACAGGGACAAAGCACTGGTAGAAAATAGTTGATTCAATATAATTGACAACATTCTGAACAGGTGAGTGAAACTGTGGGCCATACTAAGCATTGGGACCAATTACATCCAAAAGTGAAAACTGCTCGCAAGTGAATAACCCACAGATGAACAACAGAGAGCTAACTGTACTAATGACAATATAGAGACAACTCATTGCTCCAATTTAATAATCCTTGTGTGTAAGGGAAACATACCTGTTGGGTACAACAAGAACAGTAATTACTCCATTAAAATGATTCTAACATTTTTAAAAAATCTATCTTCAGTATCCTGCACTCATCCTGTTTAACATATTTCCCCCCAACTTCATATTATTGCTCACCAAATGCCCTTCATATCATATGTGTTCATTCTACTTAGACTGGATGAGTAAGGCCATCTTTTACGTGTATTAGGCAATTCCTTCCTATAATACTTCCCAAAAAAGATGTTAAGTTTCTTTTTGTCTTATGGTCAAGTTCTTCAGGTAAGATTCTAGTTGGAAAATATCAAACTGCTATATTTATCTATTTTGATACTCAAAACTGACTTTACTTGCTATAGAGTGGAAGTAGAATTTAAACATCTGCTGCTGAAACACCCATCACTGATATAAGGCATGCCCATTGGCACAGCAGTAAGTATTTCAAAGAATAAATACATAATGGATACTCTAAACACATTTGTACCATACACTGAAAAATGAAAGGAACAGATTTCCTTTTGGATCAAAGATAAATGCATCATTTCCCTGGAAAATAAGGCTCATTCACTTTGTCAAAATTATTGGTTTCAAAAATAGGAAGTTTTTTTTTTTTAATCTACTTGATTTAAGGTGTTTGGACTTTGTAACAGCAGGGGTTTAAATAGCTTTTATGTGCTTCTTGCCATTCTGAAAACAAGGATTATAGGCACCTGCTTTTATGCTCCCAAAAAGCTCCCAGGACACCAGCAAAATCTAAATTGTGTTCGATTTGTGTCTTCCATCTCATTCATAAATTTCTAAGACCTCAACCAAAATTGAATGTAATTTACATCTGCAAGAGTTAGAATGAGTTAAACTTGATATTCAACCCATACCCCTAAAAATGTTGATGTTATGAAGGCATTACAAAATTACAATACCAGGCAAATTCTAGGAGTGCTGTAACATACCTTCCAGGTGGAATTATTAACAAAGCTGAGGATACTTGCTCTTTACCATGTTAAAGTTAACGAGACCCAAGCCCTAGAGTCTACCACCTTATCTACAGCTCTGCTACTCATCTTAGAAAAATCAGCCTTCCCTTTTAACACTTAATGAACAGCAAACATACATTCCCTTTATTTCTTATTTTTTTAAATTGACATGAACGCACATATAGAAAAAGAAGTTCCATACTCCATTTAAAAGAACTGTCTTCTACACACTATCCTGGAAAGTCTTTCTATCTTTCAAGATAAAAGTCATTTCACAGATGCATCTAAATAAATAAATTTTCAGTTGTCTGAAAAAAATTTCTCTCCGGTCAGTGAACCAGAAACAATGATTGCGTTAAAAAACTTAGAGTTTTTCCAGTTTTGAAAGTCCTGTTAACTATTCCACTGAGCTCTGATCTAAAATGGAGCTCTTAAGTCTCTTCTCTTCCGGCCATATACTGTAGAGTCAAAGTACTCATAAAAGCAATCTATTTTTTTTTCTATTAGTCATATGGGCATTTTGCATTTAAATAAATTTGCATTTAAATAAATCTTTTTCTGTATTAACATTTTGTTGTCATTTTAACTTTTATATTAATCCACAGATTTATGCTTTTTCTTATTATTATTGGCTATGATCAGATTTTTTATGAGTTTCACATGGCATTTTTTACTTAATACAAATTAGTACCCTCTACTGCAATCAATGCGTTTTTACACAGACTTCTCCACTTCTGCTACACATAATCAGGTCAGCAGTTATCAGCTTGAGAACCAGCCTTAGTCATCCCATTCTCCACTTGCCTAATTGTTTCTTGCTCATAAGCTCCACTCCTCCTTACTTTTTTCCCAATTACACTGTGACTCCTGTCTTTTCTCCTACAGTGTAGTTCTTGTCACTACAAAAAGATGCAAAGATATCTTTTTGTCTACCTTCTCACTTCTGAGTGACTCTAAATTCTCCTTCTACCCCTCTTCTTGGCTCATCTCATTTTGTTACTCCATCTCCAATTTGAAGAGATCTTGTTATTTTATATGATTTTAGATAATTCTGATGAGTAACAGTTATTTTGTTCTTTTAAAGAAGCAGCTTCTTTTTAGCAAGCAGCAAAAAAAAAATGAAATTTTAATAAGTTAATAACAAGCTCTCTATATACACATATACAGCTTTTTCAAAGCTTTGGCCAATTAGTTGAGCTACAATCACTTACACTTCATAAATAAAAATGTTTCATTATTTTCCTAAAATAAACTTTCTTATAAGATTCAGCCTAAAAGGGGTGAATAAACCACATCTAGCACTACTCAGGACTTTAGAAAAAAAATTAAGGGACATATTTCTGGCTTCATGACAGCTACTAGCAAATTTCCTAAACTCTTATTAATCATATCCCCAAAATGTGGCTCTCAGTCTAACATTCCATGAAACAATGACCAATTTAAATCTTAAATTTAAGGTTTGTGCCAATCATCATTGCTGTTTTTAAAGAGATAAGCTTATTTAATTTCAATAGTGTAGTTCATTACTACATAATGCACAAAAATCCAATTTAAAAATTTTATGATTATTTTCATCAATTTACAATTTTAAACCTAATGATACCAGTTTTACTTATTGCTTTTCTTAAAGCTTTTATTTCCATATTTAGATTTTTTTAGTCCTATCTTAAAGCACTTTACAGTACCACTGTGTTTTCTTCATTTTTAGTCATTCTTTATTATACACCATATCCATGAGATACAAAGTTGTTTATGCATTTTACATAAATTTAACACAGAGACCCAGTTTTGTCTATTCTGCCACATCCTGGTATACAGTTAAACTACTTTATTTTAGGGATCAAGCCATCCAGGGAAGAAGTAGCTTTGACATATGTGGCAACCACGCCATCCAACAACATTGTAGCTTAACTATGATTTGTTGTGATGGCAGCTAAGGCAATGTCAGGAAACCTGGACGCCTGTGAAGCATGGATCTGCACCTTTACAAACACACATGCAGACATGTGCGTGGACACACACACGGACATGACACTCTTAAAGACTGTTGCCAAAATAAGCAATAGGAGAATTGACCACCCTAAGGTCAGAACAGACTTTTCAAAATTAATCTAGACAGAAATGAACTACAGGTATAACAGGGTCAGGATTAAAACTCATAATAGGCTCCAGAAATGGCCCAGGTTTAGCATTTGTGGCCATAGGAATCTTTCAATAACTTTCTTTTGCCATATACCACACCTAGGGCTTCCAAACATGACTGATAATTAGAATTACCCAGAGAGATAATTTAAAATGCAAAACTTGAGCCTTACCTTCAGAGATCCTGATTCAAAGTTGTGATATACGCCTATAGGGTAGAAATACTACCCTATACGACAATGTATTCTATGAAAATTACTCTCTTCATAGAAGAACTGACTGGAAAAAATATCCAACCCCTTAGAATTATCCTACAGCAGTAGTATATTAGCATATACTTAACAGAAACAACAAAATAGCAAAGGAGATTTGATACCAGTCTCCCTGAAATAAGAAGAGTACAAATGCAGAGTTTTCAAAATGCATTTGAAATTAAGAGTTCAGCAACTTAAAATGATTATAGGTAGATATAGATAGATAGATAGACAGACAGACAGATGGACTGC